AATGACACAACTCAAAAAACAAAGTTTTCTAGAGAATAAACTTGAATGTTTTGAACCATTACAATTTTATATATTATTTTTTAATGCAATTTTGAAGTAATAACTGTAGAGGAATAAGAGTATCTAGCTATATACAAGGGTCGGTACAAAAGTAATGCCCCCTAATTTTTTTCTCACATAATTTTATTCCTGGAACTTTGACGTTTACATGAGTTTAATCTTACATCTTTATGGTGTGCACATTTATTATTTTTCCACATAATCACTATCTCTTTCTATAAACTTTTGCTATCTGTGAATAAGACGCTGTATATTCGTGTGGTAAAAGTCTTTGCTTTTATTCTTAAGGGCTCGATCAACACATTTCTTTAGCTCATCGGCATCTAAAAATTAATGTCCACAAAGTGTATCTTTCAATAGGCCGAAAAGGCGCCAGATCCGGACTATGAGAAGGATGAGGAAGAACAGTCCATTACAGTTCAACAATTGTCTCCCTCATCCGCAGACTGGTGTGGGGCCGTGCGTTATCGTGAAAAAGAAAAACCTCATTATTCAAAGTTTTGTCAGGTCAAATTCTATAGACGAGTGACAATGAGCTAAAGAAAAGTGTTGATCGAGCCCTCGTGTATACACATATACGCACACATATCGCTCATTTGCTACTACAACAACGTAACTTAAAAATTGTCATTTTAGAGTTGTTTGCAAAAGAAAGGTGAGAATTTAATATATATTGAATAAAGAGCTAATACCACACAGAAAAAAAGTTAGGGTTGCTACAACAGAATAATAATGTTATTTTTCTTTCATCATATATATTTTATATATATGTATATTATTTTTTCTTTTTTTGTCTTAAAAATACTAATAAAAGTATCACTAATGATTTTGAATTTAAGACACTTTACAAGTTGGTGTATTGAGTCAGCTGCACTTTAAATTAAATAGGAATCAATTTTAATAATACATGTATTGATTATGTATTATATATATTGTATCAGTTTAAAATTCACAATTATAATATACAAACTGTTGAATTTCGAAAAAAATGCTACTGTTGTTAAGATTTTTTAATTGGAAATTTTTGTTATTAAATGATACAAATGCTACAGAACCGGGAAATCGACTGAGCAAATCAGGAGGCTCAGAAGACTTGGGACCGATCGCAGGTGGCAGCGGCTATCTACAGCTCAACGCACTGAATTTGCAAAGTAGCACGCCGATCCGCGGCGAAAGCAACTACAGTCCGAATCAGCACAAATTGGCGATACGCGGTGGCTGGGTTTACGATGAGCAGCCTAACCGACCTACCTATAACTCTTTCATCAATACCACGAAGAAACCTCCTCCAAGAATATTGGAAGCCTTACCTTCGTACCCGCATGACGATACGTCATTCAAATCACCCGTTCGCCTCAAAGAGATGGAGTTGAAAGAGTAAGTAATTCTTATATTAACAAATAAATTTAATATTCAATAAATTTTAAGTAGATTTAGATAATTATACTATTTTTTTTTAATTTTAAGAATTTTCCTGGAGTATAGCTTAAATTTAATGGAAATTATAAGTAAACCACAATTTTCGTTAAATTTTATTAAAAAATTAAACATACAATTTATTATAATTATTTTATTTTTTACTATTAAAAAATGTTTGTTATTTTTTTAACTTAGGTAATATTTTACTTTTATTAGTCTTATTATTTACATAAGTAATTTAATTATATTCTATTATTAATCTATAAGTAATAAAGTTTAATTTAACTTATTAATCTTCACAAAATCACTTTACACTTTTGATATTAGAATATCTGAGGACTGCCAGGAGCGAGGACTGCCACCAAGATTACTACGCAGCAACGATACTTTTACCCGCCATCATCCATTCCATGTCGAACATACCTGTTCGCCAACTTATTGACAAGCCGATCATTTTTAATAAAAACATTTTGTATTAAAGAAGAAGCTAAGAGAAGTATAAGGTATGTTAATTCAAGAAAAAGGTATAAAAGAGTACGATACATTTCTATGTAAAAGAATTAATTTCGTTATTTATTAAACTGTTAATGATTAGATTAGTTGTTAATTGTAAATTATACAATTTGATATTACACAGAAGAGTGTAACCACAATAGTTAATTATTTTCTTAAATAAAATTGAAATTGAAATTTATAATGCAGCTTATAAAATAATACACTTTTTCTAAAAATTCCTTTCACTCAAATATATATTAGAGTAACTCTAAAAGAAAAAACTACTTAAAAAAATGTATTAAAGTAAAGACAACCAAATTCATATTTCAATCTATCTATATAATTCTATGCAAATAATTAATTTAATATGTTTACGTACTAAAATAATATAATCTATTTTATTATTCTCTTTATTATCTGTTGTAAAGAAGGAAGAAAGGAAAAAGAAGAAAAAAAGATTTGGTCTATAATCTAAATAATCATCTTTTATACTGTGAATTGTTAGTGTTATTTTAAAACTAAAATAACACTAACAATTCACAGTAAAAAAGTTGTAGTTTATTGTTAAAAATGGCTAGGTTCATTGTGTGTACACACCCCTGTACACAATGAACCATTTAACATTGTTTTAAAAAAATTGAAATTGTGGCTAAACTTGAAAAATGACTTATAAGTCATCTTATACAGTATGTAGCCAACTAAAATCATGAACTGTATGCAAAAACACAGATCTCCAACTCAATAATTGAGAGAGATATTATTATAAGCTTCTGAAATTTACATGGTTCATTGTTGGACCACCTACCCTACACTATATTCAATTGTAATCAATCAATAGTCTGTTTCTCCTCAAATTACCATAATGTAAGAAAATAATATTACGAAATTTTCTCCTCCCGGGTTCTATGTTGCTCTTCTTCTTATTCTTTTTTTATTTTTTGCACAAATTTTTATTTTTTATGTAAATATGGAAATAAATTTAATTTTATATAATACAATAGTTTATAAAATTTGCGTATTTATGAATTATATATCTAATTTTTAATTAATTTAAACATTATCAAAAATATCTTTATCGTGGATTATTTGATTTCTTAATCTATTGATGCTTGACCTTTGTACATATGTGAAACAAAATGCGATGTGATCTTGTGAAACGATTTAAACCAGTTGAATTTCACAATAAGCCGACTATATGTATATTCAATTATGGCTATTACGACATGGCAAAGAGATTCTGAAATAAAAAGTTTTAGGCATTCTGTAATAAATTCTCGATAACAATCTGTAAAACGTACTGAATTTTTTTCGCGTGTTGTCTAAAATCGACTTGAATCATTACAAAACATAATACAATAAATCATTATACAATAATATAAAAAGTTTTGTGCTTGTCTTATAAAATTTTAGCGAAAGAGAGAAAGAAAGGGGGACAGATGCTAGTTTTCTAATAAAACCTTGTTTTATGTATAATAAATTTCTTGTTTCTTGTTTTTCTATAAATAAGGCATTTATAATTTATAAATTAGATACGTGTGTAGCTTTATACTTATTTTTGTCACCGAATAATTTAAGAATAATCATGCACGATTACATAACATGATTATATTGCATGTAGATCTCTGGAGTCCATCCTTACGCAATCATCCAGTTGTCAGGCTATCTCTCAATTTTAAATAATTCCGCTGTGATATTTATACACTACTAATTGTGGTTTCTCTGACACACAGGTTCAAGAAACAGAGGTCAGGCTAAGAGGAATTTCAAGGTGGCATCGATGAAGATCGGCGAAATTATTTGATGCATCAAAAATATTAACGGTGATGAATTAAACTCTAATCCATAAAATGCTGTGCCTTCGGTCTCTTCCGAGAGATGATTTTGTAACTCGTTTAGTAGGCCGTAACTCTTTCAGTAGGCTGTAACTCTTAACGATAGTTTTGCTATCGTTATACATTTGCGTTATATGGTAAAAGCTGCACAACGATAACAAAACTGTCGTTAAAGAGTTACAGAATAAGAGTACAGAATAGGAATATAAAGCTCTTGCTTAAGAAACAGATATATGTGAAAGAAATATTTGAAAAATACATTACTGAGATTCAAAAATCATATAAGAATTGTATGGCGGACGCTGTTAAAAATTTGTTACAGTAATATTTTTATATGTCCCCCTGGATAACGTACCTGAGATATGTCTGTTTTAATAAACCTAGAAGTAAAAGTTCAGAAACAAATCATAAAGTAATTTCATGAAGAGCAAATACGCGAAATATGAAAAAGCAGCCAGATATTTATTATATAGCACATACAACAAGTAATATTATTTATAATTTATTAAAAAATTATATACCTGTATATAATAGATGTAATATAATAAAAATATTAATTTATAAGCATTAATTTATAATAATAAATATCTAATAATATTAAATAAATTTTAAAAATGTTATTTATTGTCAATTTATATATTGTTTATACATTACAGTGTTGGGAGTTATTTAATACTTACTCAAGAAGATTTCTTGGTATAATAATAAAATTAAAAATAACTTTTTAAATGTGATGATTGTAATAATATATGATGTTTCTATAAAATAAAAATAATAAAATTTCTTATTTATTAGCATAAGAGAATGATAAAATTCTTATTAATATTAGTTGAGCTACTTTTTCGTGTAACATCATATATTTTTCTTTTAAACCGTCAAAATTATCATTAGTCATAAAATAAAAATTACAGAAATAAGCTAAATTAAGAAAAAGAAAGTCAAAGTGATATGATAGTTCTACAAATCATTAATTTTGTCCCTCAAATTGAATGTCATTATATGAAAGATTGCTATTTTTCTCAAGATTAGATATATGTAATAATTAAATTATTTCTACTGATTTTTCATGTTTCGTTTTTATATTAAACACAAAAAATTAAAATCACAAAAATGTTGCTCTTAAATCACTATAACAAAAATGTAATACGTTTTGTAAATAAGGAACAAATGTATATAGGTACCTACATGTAAGAATATTTATTATAAGAAATGCTGTGATCTTTTAATCTGTACTATGTAAAGATATGAAATGTTCCAAAAAAGTTTTAACTATAAATAAATATTTGATTTATATAGAAAAAGAATTTATAATTTCTTAATATCAATTCTAGTATCAGATCAGTATTAAAATTAGAAAAAAAAAACTTGTAAATAGTGGACATATACATATATATATATACTAGCTGGTTACCCGGGCTTCGCCCCGGAGGACACGCCCTGAAAGACATATTTAATAAGACACGCAAATAGATGATAGCGTATATTTACATTTAACGCCAATAGATTTCCGCATCACCCTTGAGGTACTATTATAAATGCGTTTTTTTTTTAGTGGTTTCCCCAGTAGGCCTATTCCACTGTAAAGAAATCCGTGCTTTCTTCCCGTATTTAATTACTTTAAATACATGTCTCTCACAGACATGGTATCTCTTACAGACATGGTGTCTCTTACAGATATGGTGTTTCTTACAGACATGGTGTCTTTTACTCTCTCACCTTTTTTAAAATTAGGTCATTTTTTCCATAAAAATTAGCAAAATTATATAAACCTCTTTCACACATGTTTTTCTCCTTATTTGTTTTCTCAAACAGGCATGATGTCTTTCACATACATGTTTTTCTCTCTCATGCGAACATTATATTTTTTATCATAATTTTTTTTAAAAAATTCTCCAAAAATATCTACAACCTTTTTTTTCTATTTTAGAACTTCTTTGTATACCACATTAGTGGTTCTCCCTTCAGGCGCTAGTATCACAAGACTGTTTGGTGAGCTCACTCTCGAACATGCCACATAGAACTGCCCATGTGAGAAACAGTCTTCACTTAAATCAATTTTTGCTACTTTTAACGACTGCCCCTGGGACTTGTTGATAGTCATCGCAAAACAAACTTTGATAGGAAACTGCAACCTCTTAAACTCAAAAAGATACTCTGACGATATTAGTAGTATGCGTGGTATAAATACCGTCTCTCCCCGTGCACATCCGGTGAGTATTGTGGCCTCGATAACATTTCTATGTAGAGCCTTCACTTGAAGCCTTGTGCCATTGCAAAGTTTTGGCGGATTCAAATTTCTCAACAACATCACTGGTGCCCCCACTTTAAGAAAAAGCTTATAGGCTGGTAAGCCAGGAGGGTTCATTGTGTTAAGAAACTCTACTGGGTAGTTGACCGCGTCATCCGTATCTACCACCGAGTCCACAGATCTGTAATTCATTTCTCCTTCCTCGAATGATTTAAGAAGAATGTCATTAATGACACCAGCTTTATCATTCCTAGGGGTCAGAATGGCACGCTCGCACAGCCAATCCATAGATTTTTCTTTGATATCCGCAATATCAGGGTATATCTTATTAATAAGACTCTCTAGGCTTTTTACTACTAAACCTAGATTTGCAGGAATAATCACTTTTCCTTCCGTCTCAGGATACTCTCCATCTCCAATTTTTAATAGTAGTTTTGAAAATTGCCCTGCAAAAACATCACCTTTCAAGTGTACCCTCATGTTTTTTCTGATAGAGATTTTCCTGATAAGGGACCACAAATGTGATTTCTTTACACACGCCTTAACTTCGTCTGCTCGAGTTCCCCTTGGCACTACTGGCAAAGTCTGTCTGAAATCTCCAGCAAGCAGCACGGTCACTCCCCCCATTACTCCATCGTTACCCCTAATATCTTTGAGGGTTGTGCTCAATGCCTCAAAACCCCCCTTATGTGCCATGGTACTTTCATCCCAAACAATGAGCTTACAATCCCGTAGTACTTTAGCCATGTTACTTTGTTTTGAAATATAGCACAGAGGTATTTCTGTTTGAATTAAATTCAGAGGAAGCTTAAAAGCAGCGTGAGCGGTCCTCCCTCCCTCCAACAAAGTAGCAGCGATACCTGACGATGCAACAGCCAAGGCAATTCCACGTTCTCTCCTTACCCTCGCCAGAAGTAAGTTGATGAGGAAGGTTTTCCCAGTACCACCTGGAGCATCTAAGAAAAATACCTGACCATCTCCTGACTTTACGCTACTAAGAACCTGCCGATAGACAGCGAGTTGCTCATCTGTTAATAAACCCTCGTTATTCAATACCACTTCTTCCAAGGCATTTACATCGTAGTTTGTCTCCCTCAAATAGTCTCTGTTCCCCAATACCTCTCCAAACCTTTTTGGCTGAGGCAGGCTAGGTTAGGTTAGGTTAGGTATAGGTATAGGTACTTCAAGTACTTGCAAATGTACTTAATAGACTTTACAGAATTGCATAATTCCACATTAATATGAGCATTAAAAATACATAACAATACAGGGTTGTACGGCACCACCCAACGATTGTCCAGTTCTATTCCATTGATTTCTACGGTGTATCCACCATTAGCTGGAGACCTCCTCCGATACTGTGGGTATCCATCGCCTCCTGTCTGAGTGTCATTTTGAAATATTCGCGGATACCTTTTACTGCAGCTACCATCTTTCATGCAAGGCGAATTGTGGTTTAAGCCCCCGCATGGACCATGAATCATGTTGGCTTTAACGATATTGTGTAGAAGAGAGTCTTTTAAAGGATTAGGTATTTCCGCACAGATGACTTTGTCGATCATATCAGAGAAGATGCGCTGCTCTAGCCACAGCAATATGTGTATGTGAGGCAGACCTCGCTTTTGCCACTCCACAGAGTACATATAGCAACACACTTTTCCAAACAGACTACCTTTATTCAATAGAGCCATCATTTTCTTCACCTTAAGATGAAATACCCTTGCTATAATGTCGTGTCGATCGTGAGTTTTTTGCCCAGGCAATAATGCATCTGTTATATCCTTCCACTTTGGATTACAGTTAAAAGTGATAAACAAATCAGGACGGCCGTGGTAGCGAACGTATGTCATTGCGTCTTGTGTCCGCTCATGCATGTAGCGAGGTCCTCCAGTGAAAGATGACGGAAGCACCACCATTTTACCCAGCTGAGAAACGTCAGCATCCTGCCTTCCCACGGCATCCCTCAGGTGAATGTAGCTTTCTGCCCTAAGCTGCGCCTGGTTGTTCCTAATATAGTTCAACCTTTCTGTCTCTATTTTGGCGTACATGTCAACCAGAAACTGACTAAAAAGAGAACGGAAGTACACTAAGTGGTTGACTTCCCCTTCTCTAATCATAATTCGATATGAGTAAAAGCTCGCTGCGGAAACTAAATTCTTATGTTGCAACTTGGTCTGATAGTCTCGCTGAGGAATGGCAATCGAGTATCCATCCTCGCCACGGCAAAACATGAGCGGGTACTGCAAGGCGTCGTACGACCGGTGGACCTCGCTGATGCGCCGCAGTTTGTTATCGTGGCTCTGCAGCACGATGTCTCGCTTGTTGAATTCCTGACCCACAATCACCAGAGCTACCTCATTTGCTATTGGTGCGTTAAAGCAACCTCTATGAGCGTCATCTGGTTTTCCGTCTGCATGGATAACAACTTCAAACTTTTTGCAATTTGGAGATACCTTATCCAAAGTGGTTTTCAGGTCCTTTATATAGGTGTTGACGTCATGTAGCATTCTCTGTAGTTCTTTGACTAATCCCTGTTTGACATCTGAAAAATTGCTACATCTTAAACGCACTTCCCTGTCATCCTCTCCCACAAAATAAATTTGAAGAAATTGAGCTTCCTGTTCAGGTAATGGCAGCAGACTTCCTACCAAGTGATATACCTGCCCCTGAACTTTAAAGGTCGGTATAAAGCCATCTTGTAGAACCTGCTTACCGCCGAATGATGTCATACTAAAGCAGCCATTGTACTTTCTAATATTGTTCATAAAGTGAACGTGCTCTGGATGTCTGCCCATTACCAAACTATATAGAGGCTCGGGCAGAGGTTCTAAGGGTGCAAGCTGCACCTTTCCAGCGCTGCAACACATGCCAGGGGATTCTTCCTGCCATTTAAGAGCATTGCAATATTTGCACTTGTGACTCATGGTTCCCAAAGCTATAGTGCTCTCTGTCTCATAAGCCACGTCTGGATCATATGCCATACCTGAGTGAGCTTTAACCGTCCACGGAAGTATTCGCCTTTCTACTCTTCTTCCAGGATTACTTTGTTCATATCGAGACTCTGCCTCTCTGTGCACCTCAGGATTATTTTTTTGGTACCTAGTCACTGCTGTTCTGTGCATTTCTGGATTTTTTTGTT